TAAACCAACTCTGTTCTGACCGAATCTTAATTCTGGGGTAGGAAGAGTCACGGAATGGTGAGCAGAGCAATGACCTGGGAGTCAGAGGGCTTGAGGTTGCCACCAATGATAGTGTCAGTATGGGAACTAAATTCTTTGGCTTTGATATCCTTATTTTTATGTTGAATAAGTCGGATCAGATAATCTTTTGAGTCCCTTCCCATTGTAAAGCTTCAGGATTGTCATACTTGACTCAGAGTCCAACTGAAGTGTGGAGGGGGAGGGCGCCTGTCTGGACGGCCTGCGGGTTCCCTCTCCAGCTGCAACCCTCCACAAGCCAAGGGATCCTGGGCTGTCTCAACTTTTTGATTACTGTTCACTTGATTAAGTTTAATTTAGTTCCAGAGTAATATCTCAGACCCAATAAATAAAGGTCTAAATTACTATGTTTAGTGCAAAAATGTGTGGTTTATGCACACAATTAGAACTGGTTCAATTGCAAGACTTTAAAATCCGCAATTTTTAGGGTCTGGCCCAGTGGCGTACTGGTTAAGTTCCCACGCTCCACTTTGGCGGCCTGGGGTTCACAGGTTTGGATCCCGGGCGTGGACTTACACACCACTCATCAAGCCATGCTGTGGCAGTGTCCCACATACAAAACAGAAGAAGAGTGGGACAGATGTTAGCTCAGGGCCAATCTTCCTCAAGCAAAAAGAGGAAGGTTGGCAAGAGATGTTAGCTCAGGTCCAGTCTTCCTCACCAAGAAAAAAAAGAAAAAAATCAACTATTTTTGTAAAAATAAAACAAGGAACTATTATTTCAATAGTCTCTACCTTGTGCCAGGCCCAGTCATATATCTATATCTATCTTATATTTAAGATATTACATTTATCTACATCTATATACCTATATTCAAAATCTAAGCCTCATATTTTATTTTCATTTTACAGGTAAAGAAATTGAGACTCTAAGAGGAAAACTAATGGATATCTCTGAATCAATCAACTTAGATTTACTAAGATCTATAATGTGAATAGTAACGATGAAAAAAACAAAAGCATGATGAAAATTGGTTTTTACTCTTTAGCAGCCTCTAGCCTTTTTGAGAATAAAAGGCACACACGGGGACTGGCCCAGTGGCACAAGTGGTTAAGTGCGCGCACTCTGCTGCAGCGGCCCGGGTTTCGCCGATTCGGACCCCGGGCGCGCACTGATGCACTGCTTGTCAAGCCATACTGTGGCGGCGTCCCATATAAGGTGGAGGAAGATGGGCATGGATGTTAGCCCAGGGCCAGTCTTTCTCAGCAAAAAGAGGAGGACTGGCAGATGTTAGCTCAGGGCCGATCTTCCTCACAAGAAAAAAAGGAAAAAAGACTAAAAGGCACACACACAAACGAGTATTAGAAAAGCACACGCAGACACACACACAAGCTATTGATGTGTAGTATAGACAAAAAGCACAAAGGAGTGCTAAGAACAGGGAATGGGACTAACCCTTACTGGATCCACGTCCCAGGGCCCAGAGCAGTCCCTGTCACACAGCGGTTTCTCAAAATCTATTTAATCTGTTGAGTGCCTACTAAGTGTCAGGCATTATACTAGGCGTTAGAGATAGAGACTTGTAGAACATGGCCTCTAACCTCAAGAAGCTCATATGGACTGGAAGTGCTTTAGAAAACTTCAGACAGAGACGGGCCCTGGAGAAGGGAGACGATGCAGGCAGGAGTGAAGGAGGCAGGAAAAATAGGAACAAAGGCTCGAGCGAAGGAAGAGAAACAACGGATTCTGACAGGGAGTGAATGGGACGCTGAGCAGACTTCACCTCCCAAAGCAGAGAATGTACGTGGGAAGGAGCGAAAGAAAAGGCTGATGGATTAAAGAAAACCTGTTTAATGACTTGGAAGGTTAATACGTGGAACAACCAACTAACACTGTTCTAATTCTGAGAATGGACCTCATAGGAGGTATTTATGCTGCAGCTAACTTGAGTAGTGGAAATAAACTAGTTGGCTCATGGCAGTGCAATTTATTATGAGGGTCATTAAGGAACTATTCCACTACCTGCTGTGAACGTGCATACAATTTATGCTATCGCAGGCGTTAGGGAAAACAAGGTGGGCTTACTCAGCATTTTCTTAACAGTAATCATTGAATATGACAAGTATTTTAACTAATGGTGGTTCTACCCACTGTGTGAATTAGAATATATTAAACACTGCTTTTGGGAGGCAAAAAAAATTACTGAAAAGTACTTAGATGAGGGGCCGGCCTGCTGGTGTAGTGCTTGGGTTCGTGCACTCTGCTTTGGCACCCCGGGGTTCATGGGTTTTGATCTCAGGCACGGACCTACACACCGCTCATCAAGCCATGCTATGGAGGCATCCCACATACAACGTGGAGGAAGATGGACACAGATGTTAGCTCAGGGCCAATCTTCCTCAAGCAAAAATAAGAGGAAGATAGGCAACAGATGTTAGCTCAGGGCCAATCTTCCTCATAAAAAAAAAAAAAAAAACTTAGATGGGTGGGAAATGCCTGAAAAAAATGTCCTACTCAGGCTGGGGAGAAGCCAGCTAACACTTATAATGTGTGGGGGCAGCTGCATTTCAAAGTAATTTTCTTTATGATGAAACTGTTTTTATAATTTTATTCACCTATTGCAAATAGACACCTTTAGTATATTACAATGAAAGATGGAATTTAAATATTCTCCTCCACCTGTATCTGATACCTTGTGATTTTAAGAGCAAAGATTTGGGTTACAGGAAAGGCAGCCACAGGAAATTACTACAAGTAAACTGTGAGGAGAGTTAAAATATATTTTATCTGCTCATCATTAGCCTACATATTATTGCTTATTGATTTCCTTGCTCTCTTTTTTTCTTCACGTTGGAATTCTAGACCGTGAACAGAATGTCATAGAGATGGGGGTAGAATCAAGGTGCGCACTCTCTCAACACTGTTTATCCAAACATTGTCATGATGATTGCTTAAAAAAAAAGTGGATGGGGTTTGGAGTGCATGGATGGCTTTGGGCTTGAGATTTGAAAGCAAAAAAAAGCTTAAGAATTCAAGATGTACACCATACGATGCCCCCTCTCCCACCCAGCTACTTACACACTTCTATGCCTACGTGAAATAGGATTTGACAGAATAGGATCATGTGTGATCACTTGTTTGTCAACATTCTCTACTTTTTCTTTCTCTCTGTAGTAATTATGCTCATCTAATGTATTTCAGTGCCAAGCCCCTTCAAAATGGCAAAATACACAATATATTGAAACGTCAATTCCTAAAAGGAGTTCAAGATAGGGAAGCCACGTACCTGTGCTGAAAAGGAAGGCGTGGCTGACCTCAGGGAGAAGACAGCAGTGTGATAGTTTTTTCAAAGCAGTTCAAGGATCTGTTTAGTCTCTCTGACTTTTGACGTTGAGGATGAATGCCTAAAATGTTTACAAGAGAGGCTGACTGAGTTTTTATTTGGAAAAAAAAGATAACAGAAAAGAACAAAAAGAATAAGGGCAAATGGATGTACTCATCTCTATAATTCTAAAATAAATAAATACTGTTCCTTGGAAAACAGTTTTAAAAAAAGGAAAAGAAAATATTCTCCCTCAACTAGGAAATGGAAAGGATGTTCAAGTTCTCAACTACTTAAAGCTGTAAACAGTGTGGGTGTGAAAAAGCAGTAACAACTAGACCCTGTGAAGTTTCAACAAGAGGAGTGGGTGTATAACAAATAATAAAAATGCAAGATACAGCTACAAAAATAGAGAGGCATGTATACTTACAGGGAGCAGACCACGTGACAAAGGAGAGCTGGTCCCCACAGTCACGTGTATAGTGATTAAAATCACACTGAGCTATTGAAAAAAAATGAGATGTCGCCTAAATGCTCTATAACAACGTTTTCATGAAAAAAAGAACAAAACCCACAATCCAGGATGTAAAGTCCACATGAACAGTGTATTCCCTGAGCCAAACCCTCCCAGGGAGCAATCTCCCCCTGGAGTAAGGAGCCCCTTTACTGGGCCCCACAGGTGTAAATGGCAGAGAGTGGTTCCAGGGGAAACTCTGCTCCTCCAGAGAGGCGTGCACAGCTTCCCTTACACACCCTGAATGAGAAGAGCACGGCTCTGGAGATTTAGGAGAAACAGCAGCCCCTCAAGTAGCAGCTCATTCAAAGCTCACCCAGAAAGGGTCTAGCGTCCTTCAAGGGCTGGAACAGGCGGGCCTGCTGCCTGCAGCAGAGTCTGAAACACATGCACTCCTCACTGCTCTGTCTAGCCTTTTTGGCTCCATCTCTGTCTGGTCACCAATTATTTACCTGGTGTTAGATTTTCCCATGTTTATAATTTCCGCAGGGAGAATGGAGCTTTTTTTTTCCCAAAAAAAAAAAAAAAGTTATTTAGATTATTTACTCATTTAGCTTAAAAATATAAAATAAGATTGCATTTGCAGATCCTTAGAAAATGATTACATGTAAATAAAAATTGAAAACTGATATCTAAAATATAAGTTTACATTTAGGAACAAAAGGATGATATGATACCAAAAAATCAAAATGGAATGATTCAGAATAAGAAGAAATTGTATCTTAAATTGGATTAATTGGATTAAAGATGACAAAGACAAGTAACAGGTAAGAGAGGGAATCCTGGCATGATTGACTGGACACAAATGCTTGGCCATCTGTGAAATGATTCCAAAGAATAAAAAAGTTTTCAAGATAAAAGGGAATCTTATAGAATTTTACAGATGAGATATGTGTTCTATTTCTTACATATAACACACATTTAGAAAGAGAAAAACTCAAATTTTTGAAGAAGAAATAATAAAAAATATTTTTTAAACGAAGATCAAAGCTTAAATGAATTCTATGAGCCAGTGAACATAATAATATCCAGAAATAAAAAGATTTATTTCAAGGAAATATAAGGAACTGTTACTATTAACAAATTTGTTCTTTTACTACTCTACATAGTTTACTTTCTGGTTCACATTTTCAAAAACTTCCTTACCTGGGCTGACTGTTCACCTTTTCATGGTTCCCACTGAAGTTCAAACTACAGAGGTTTTCTGATTTTGAATGAGAAGAGTCTGATTCCAAATTTGCCTGTGTTTGTTCTCTCAGACGATCATGAAGAGTTGCCTCCTTTTTCAAGTTCACGTCTGAATACGGGCAGCCAAAAGCACTGGTTTGTATAAGAATGAGAGCACAATCATAAGTTTATAGTGGTAAATCAGGAATCCACTGTCACTGGAACAGACTTACATCCAAAATTACAAGCTGAATAGAGACATTCTTCTTTTGCTGAACACACTCAAATAAGTTTCTTTTCATATTGTCCTTTGAGAAAATCTCAGGTTCTGGGTCACAGACACTGGTCAGCAGAGTATTACAGGTAGAGTCATCAGCACATGTGGTTTTTACAATTATGGAAACTTAAAAATCTAAGAATAACATAAAAATGTGCTTCCAATGGAGCAATGAAAATGTCCCATAGAGTGACGTCAGCGTCATGGCAGAGTGAGCTTTCCTGTAAACTCTTCCCCTGATAAGATACAACAAAAGGAACAGTCACAGACCAACAACGGACTCCTAGACAGTGAAAAGCAAGATTGGGAAGATCCACACTGCCACACATCTGAGAGAGGAATGTGCTGGGCCCCCAGAGGAAGTGGGGAGAGGTAAGGAGAACTCCTCTCCCTCCCCTTCAGATCAGTGATCCCAGTCAATGTGGCACCCAGAGAGGGGGAAGGAGCAGCCCTCTGCAGGGAAACCGTAGCTCTTTGGGCTCTCTCAACCAGTGGGAAACTCCCACACGGATGACTCAGAATTGCTAGAAGGGTACCATCAACATCTCAGCACCCCAGGAAGGTGGATAATGAGGGGCAAGCGAGAAGCCCCCCACACCAGGGACCCAGCAGGCAAAAGAGAGAGCCCCCCCGCTCCCCGCATGCTGGACACTGCAGCTCAGCCAACCAGACCAGACTAAGCAGCCAGCAGATTGCAGCGAACAGCCAGGGCAGAGCACGGGGGGCTCAGATTACACAGCCCTTAACCCCCACATGGTGGCAGCGGGTGGAAATTTCAACCAGATATTTCCAGGATGAGGAAAAATAAAGCCAATACAGGAACCACAATGCAAAAGTACATGAAATCACCAGACCAGAAGGAAAATGACAAGCACCCAGAAACCAACCCTGAAGGCACAGAAATCCATAACCTAAATGACAGAGATTTCAAAATAGCTATCATAAAAAAACTCAACGAAATATGAGATAACACAGACAAACAATTCAATGAGATTAGGAGTTTCTTCAGAAAAGAGATTGAAATCATAACGAAAAACCAATCAGTACTGATGGAGATGAAGAACACAATGGAGGAGATAAAGGAGAATCTAGAATCTTTAAAGAACAGAGCTGACTATATGGAGGAAAGAATTAGTATTATAGAGGATAGGAATACAGATATGCTCCAGATGGAAGAGGAGAGAGAACTAAGACTAAAAAGAAATGAAGAAAGTCTCTGAGAAATATCTGACTCTATTAGGAAATGTAACATAAGAATTTTAGGTATTCCTGAGGGGGAGGAGAGGGAAAGAGGAACAGAGAGCCTATTCAAGGAAATAATAGCTGAGAACTTCCAAAATCTGTGGAAGGAGCAGGAAATACCAGTAAGTGAAGCCAATAGGTCACCTAAATACATCAACAGGCAAAGGCTCACTCCACAACATGTAGTGGTAAGGCTGGCCAAAGTCAATGACAAAGAAACAATATTAAGGGCAGCTAGATAAAAGCAAAAAATAACATACAAAGGAAGTCCCGTCAGGCTTTCAGTGGATTTTTCAACAGAAACTTTACAGGCAAGGAGAGACTGGAATGGTATATTCAAAATACTGAAAGACAACAACTTTCATCCAAGAATACTCCATCCAGCAAAAATTTCCTTCAAATATGATGGAGAAATAGTAACTTTCCCAGATAAACAAAAGCTAATGGAGTTCATGGCCACGAGACCCCCACTATAAGAAATACTCAAGAAGGCCCTCAGGCCTGAAAAAAAGAAAAGAAAGGGAATACAAAGCTTGGAGCAAGGAGAAAAATAGGTAGACAAAATCAGAAAAATAGTAGATCTTTACCGGAATAGGTTAGCAACCACTTAAATACCAAAATCAAAGATCAAAAGAAGGAATTCACCAAAAATAAATAT